TCAAGAGTTCTGAGCAGTCTTTTGCAGATATCTCAGCAACATTATGGTTAACCTAATAATGTTGAAATATTGTTAGTGAAGAGTAGTAAAACTTTTATAACGATATTTTACAGAGTCGTCTTTTCCGAACTCAACAATTTTCACTGTTATAGACAACTTTGATGTCTGACCTCCTCTCTCAAATATTCTCAATCTCATCACTATTCGGCATATCGCCATTGTAGTAAATTCGTCTCTTAATTGCAGCTGCCATGTTGACTCTGAATGGAGAATGACTTCACCTGTAGCCTGTAATCCCGTTGATCGTCGAGTGACTCGAGCAGGCGCCAGTAAATCTTTCATTTCTCCCTGTCGCGTGCAAAGGTAGCCCAGTGGGTTCTGCTCGCTCTAGGGAACCGTCAAGCATCATACCTTTCTTCAACGCTTTTTGTGAAGGACACTGACCATCGAGTCGGTGATCTTCCTGCAGTACGTTTGACATCCCGAGGAATCCAGTCACCAACGGCTCTTGTGCATTGGTTGTCATTCATACGCATTACCTGTCCGGCCCACTTTATCTTCGACTGAGTGTTTGGCGTACAGAACGGCATCTTTGATTTTTGATCGTTGACGCAAATGGGAGCTTTGGATTCAATCCCCTACTTGTCTGGAACGGGATACTCCTAGCATCGTCCCTTCGAATGCGCGTTCGATGACGCTGAGCGACCTTTCATCCTGCTTAAGCAGCGACCAGGTTTCTGACGCATACGTTAGGGCTGGAAGTACCGTTGAGTTGAAAAGGTGGGCACGAAGTCGGGTGTTCTTTGTTCTCTTCACTACATCCTCGATGCTCTTGAAAGTTTTCTAAGCCGCTCGTTTCCTTCTGCTCAGCTCTGGAGCTAGCTCGTTTGTCATATTGATTTCCCGACCTAGATAGATATAGCTGGAGCATTCGCAGATATTCGTTCCGTTGAGCGTGAATGAGGCATACAAAACCAATCCGTTCTTCATAAACATCGTTTCTGTGAGATTTAGTCGAAGACCAATCTTTCCACACGCTTTATCAAAGTCGTCAAGCATACGCTTCTCTTGGCTAATGTTTAGTGTTATAAGGGCGATGTCATCAGCAAAGCGAAGATGGTGTAACTGCCGACGATCGACTTTCAGTCCCATATTATCCCATTCCAATGTTCGCATGACATTCTGGAGTGTGGCGGTAAATAATTTTGGCGAGATGGTATCGCCTTGCCTAACTTCTTTTTTAACGTCAATGTTAATATCGTTGTAGAATGCCGATACCTTGGTTGTGAAATTTTTGTACAGCTCACGAAGAATCTTTATGCACTGAGTAGAAACTCCTTGACTATCAAGAGCTTCCAAGACTTTTTATCTCAGTTGAGTCAAACTGCTTCGATCTCAACTGAATCAAAGGCCTTCTGTAAATCGATGAAAGTGAGAAAGAGCGGTCTTTTGTATTCTCGCGTTACTTCAATGAGCCCTGTTTCCATGTGGATGTGGTCCACCGTATTAAATCCTTTCGAAACCCTGTTTGCTTACATGTCAGTCCTTCGTCCAGTGTTCTGTCAATCCTGTTTAGGATGACTCGAGTGAAGAGTTTGTAGAAGACAGACAACAAGCAGATTGGGCGACTCGAAAGACGGACTTTCTATAAACTTCGGCATGGATAGTCGATATATTTATTTATGTGATCTTATAAACTGATCTTTTCAAGCTGACGAGAAGTTGGTACAGGTCTTCATTGTCGTTGTCGTTGTTTTTGATGTTATTGATCGATGGCTGACTTTTCGGCGACTTCGCCTTCCTCAGAGCCTGGACGTATTTATTAGAATATTTTTATTATTCGGTGGAAAAGAAAGGTTAAAGTGTTAATGAAGATCAATTGGATGAAGTTCGGTTGGGCGACAGTTACCGATATCGTGTAGGTCACCTTTCTTGAACATTAGCACGGTCTTGCCGGTCTTCCACTGAGTAGGGACCTTGCATTCAGACAGGTAACGTGTGTAACGAAAGGCCGAGCCAGTGTGTTTACGAGGAGTGGTGGAAGGTTCTTCAGGTGTTCTGGTCTTATTCTGTCCGGACCTGGTGCCGTCCGATTTTTCACCGACGAAATGGCATGTCGGATTTCGGAAGAGAGAACCGGTGGTACAACATGTCCATCCTCCTTTATTTCATATGAAGAAAGGTGGACCTGCCTACCGAAGAGATCTGAGTAGTATTTGTGAATGATTTTCTTTATTGCCTTTCTGGACGCTGTAACTCTACCGTCTGGGCGCCTGAGTGCAATCATTTTGGTCTTGTAATTGGCGAAGCTTCGGTGGGCTTTACGAATGCTTTTCCCAGCCTCTGCAGCTTCGGCCATTACTGCTACTCTTCTCTCTCTAAGATCTTCTTTTATCGCCTGTTTGCATTGTTTTGCGATTTCGGACGTTTGTTCGCGGTTGCCTGCAGCTCGTTCGTTTCCACGTCGGCGTATCACCTCGAGTGTTTCTGGAGGCAGACGTCTCGTGGAGGCTTTCGAACTCTCAGCTTTCATAGCGCTAACGTGATGTTGAATGACCCGATCGCATTCTTCGTCGATGTTATCGACAACGGTATCTTCCTAACAGCCGACTAATAAATTGAATAATTCCCCGTTTACGGCGGTTCTGGGGTTTCGGTTTTTGAATTTATCGGCTTTTTCTTCTTTCAGCAAGAAATGAAATGTTGCGCGAAGGAGACAATGATCCGATCTCGTGTAGAATTTTGGGACAACTGCTGCATCACTAAGGCAAAACCTTCTACTTACTATGATGTGGTCTATTTCGTTATAGTACTCTCCACTGGGAGACTCCCACGTCCAGCTGAGGGTTGGGTTTCTGGAATTGCGAGTTACCACGGATTGTCTTTGCTGCCATGATAAGCTCAGACATTCGCTCACCCTGTTCGTTCCATTCTAATCCGTGAGTCTCAACGTCACGTTTTTCAGACCTTCTTCTTAGTCCAATATTAGGTTCAAAATCTCCAATGATATAACGCTTCAGCTTCTTCTTCGTCATAGTTTGATGTCGGCGCGTAAACGACGAAGATTGTCAAAGACGGAATTGATCCACGTCTTTTTAATCGTAAACGTCCGATTCGAATTGTAAATTGTTCGAATGAATCGATATTCATGGACAAACTCATATTGACGAGAACGCCGACGCCATCGACTCCTCTATTGTCACATGTTCCGAGGAACAGTTCTTCTCCGGTGTCATAGACGGCGTTTAAAGGCCGGCGTTTTCTCGTCTCGACCAGGCCGATGTCGCTGTACTTCATCCTTCTTGCTTGCATGAGCAAGTCTTCTATCGAGGGCTCGGATGCAAGTGTACGTGCATTGTAGGTACAGATCATCACCATAGTTCTTTTGCAATCCATGCAGCTTTCATTGGCCTTGAGATTTTAGCAGCCTCTCCGTACTCGTCCTACCCAACCCTGCGAAATTGGGAGCTCTTTCGGATCAGGGGAATGGGGCCCCTTTTTTTCTTACTGTTTAGCACTTTTGATACCCACTTATGGCTTGCTGGGGTCTAAACGTGGGGTTGGGTATACTCACGGCTAGCTTGCCAGGCTCTCCCAGAATGCACATGGAGCTTATTTGTTGGAGGCGACTCCTAACCGCCTCCCATATACTTCCCAGTTACTTGATTGCAGGCTTTTGGCCGAATTGACTAGTAGGACACAATCTGCATAAACTAGAATGCACCCACACACGCGTGTATGAATACGTCTAGCAAATACAGAAAATACTTGCCAAATCGGGGCAGCGGAAACAGGGAGTCCATCCCCTGGATCCACCTGCGTCTCAGGGAAGCAAAGGTCGCTTTTGGTCCGCGATTATCCCCCTATCCGCCACCTGGAGACGCGCACGCAGCCTCGCGACTAACCGGCTCGAGATCCCTCATATGTGGGTGATCCCTGGTGAATGACTGAATGACTTAGTGATGTAAAAATGTAGAGGATCTGGCGACATCAATCATCAAGCGTTGATCATATTTTGTTTGAGATCCTTAAGGTGCCCGTGTTCGTCGAAAGTGGGCACTTGTCCTTTATAGAAAAGCGCGCTCAAAGTTCTCGTGCTTTCTATAAATTAAATCGAGCACTTGTGTGTGAGAAGCTGCATCTCGTTCTCATTTGATTGAGTTAAAATTGAATCTGCCTTGTTTTTTTAGCTTTCGAGTCCGCTGAAGAATGGGTAGTAAAAGATTAAGATGCCATAGTTGTTTTCTTCAAGGATAGTCGTACAGCGTGCCTTAAAATTGCATTTTTGATGAGTAGAAGACCGATGTTTGGGTCTAGTTGTTCTGACTCTTGTTTGTCACCTGAATCTGACCCGTCTTCGTTCTATGACACTTTTGCCGAATTTACTGATGTTAAGAAAGAACGAGAGGCAAAACTTTTCTTTTATTCCATTAGTTCACAAGAATCACTTAATTTTGAACAAACAGATTACATGCTGACGCTTCTCAATTCCTAATCTTCTACTCACTATATTTTTTGTTTGATCGCTTTTATCAGTTTCACATCGGCCTGATAACGGAATGGACCACCTCTTAGGTGTAGATCCTTGTCAGCCAAATATAACTAGTAAGGCACCATGGAGAGAAAGTGGTGAAAGCGAATGTTAACTCAAATCGATGAGTTAGGTGCGAAAAATGCATAGTCGTATATGTCAAAAGATACAGTGGTAATAATTGAAACAGAACGAAAGCTCACCACGGTTTTCCCTAATTTCGCAGGCTTTTGGGTGCACTCACTCTTTGTTCTAATCCTTTTCGGTAGAAACGGAGTTTATGATCACCGAGTGTTAAGGAATATTGCAAGCTTTTTCTCTTATCCAAAAACCTGGAAGATACGTAAGTCCTTCAACTCCACGGAATCGTGAAGGGTAATAGATTATTTTGGATTATATATTCATTATTCTGAAAACCGTTATGTTGTCGATTGTTCTACCGCTTCTATTTTTCTTCTAGTGGTCACCGATGTTACTGAATCTGATGGAAATTTGGATAGGAATTGAGCAGGTAGTCGAGTAGTCATAAGCATCAACTAAAGGACCATGGTTTTCAGTGAAAATTTGCAAAATGAAGTTGGCCTCAACATTCTTTTACGTCTACATCATTTTCTATTCCCGAGTCAAGGGGTTTCATTTACCATGCAACCCTATGAAATTTTACCACTCCTGTGCAGGGAACCTCGTCTAGGTTCTTGTTCTGGAACCTCGGATCTTTTCATTAGAGAATATGGTACTGTCACTAATTCTTTGAAGAGGATGCTCCCCCAATTCTATGTCCGATCGAGGCTCCACTCAACTTCACTTATCACACTAGTGGAGGATCGTGCATCAGTCGAATATCTTCAATAACACGGTAAAGTCTGCTTCAAATACTTCAATGGCTAATGTGTTCTTTTATGTGATAGAGTTTTTCTAGGTGTTCTCAATGGGCACGACTTTCGTTTCACTATCAGGCGTGTCCAGAGAATCCGACCAAAGAGGCTTCAGGTAATAAGATTCGTTTAAAAGCGGAACAAATTTATTTGTTACGTATTTCAAATCCTACTGACTGCGATTCTAGTCTTTTATTCCGGTCTTTAGGTTTTCTCCTATTCATACCAATTTTGACGATTTTTTCCACGACGAGTCTTATCGAGCCACCTTAAAGTTGTCTAGACAATGAAATAAATAGAGGTTTTTCCTAAATAACTTTGTTACATTGACCTGAAGAGATACCAGCTTCTTTTTCTGTGGGTGACCGGCATGTACAAATGTAGCTTGTCAGTGTGAAGAAATATACGTTAGACTGTCTCGTTTCTTTTAGCAGTTACCTAGCGCGTCCGAGATTTCACAAAGTGACCCGCACTTATCTTCATCATATCAGTGTTCCGTGCTAAAGAAAAAACAAAGTACAGCATTATTTCTTTGGTGGATCAAACAATAGAGTAATTGCTTTTGTTGAAAAACACATGTGAACGAAACCCCTTCAAAAACTCTCGGCCTTGATGATTTTTCCATAAATTCATGTACTTTCTCAATGACTACAGCATTATAGGAAACGAGAAATTAACAGCAGCCACTGAAAGACGGTCATAGTGGCGAGTGTATTCAAGATGAGAGGCTAAATTATTTTCAAACACGCATTGCTTACTTGTGACTCATACCGTTTATTCATTGTGAAGGCATTGTTCGACCTATGACGGTGACTACTGGCTGCAATGCTGCTGGCAATTTCTCATCTCCTTTAATGTTCTACTTTTTAATTACTAATAAAATGCAGTTGATTGGATATTTCGTTACTCAACCCAGCCCAGTGCATGTGACTTAAACGTCATGAATGCTGCGTGATCGTTGAGACGTGCATGGTGTTTTCTACGCCTTGAACTCTTAAGCTACCTTTCATCTGCAGTGCAGCGAACGATTATTAAAGCACTGTCGAGCTTTTACATATAGCCAGTTGCGAACCGAATGGGATCCACAAGACAGCTATTATACGAGTGATCTGTCGTAACCGCAACTGACCATGAAAAACAAAGAGGTTCTGCCTCAACAATTCTATTCCTGGCGCCTTTACGGCAATTGTTTGCTCTTCTCTCATTCACCTAGATGCCAGTGGTTGAGATTTAACAGAAAGCGTTGTAAGAAAATGTTTTTTAGAAATACAACTCTGCGTTATTTACCAATGGCTGATATGTCCACGAAGATGGGCGAGCTATCTTTCATATGCTATGCATTCATGTTTCAAAAGAGATATTTTAAATCCCAATACCACTTAGTTAATAAGCAAGAATCGGAGAATGAACTGATAGGAGCTTTAGGATTCAGCGTGAAACAATTGCTCTTTCACCAAACGTGGCAACAAACCTAAGTCTCCACAGAACACGCGGCGACAAAATTGAGGTCCACAGAGACTTCCGAAAATGAGATTTTCGTGCTGAAACCTCATAGAATACGCAGCAGTTATCATAGGAAGCATTTTTTCATGTGATGAATCTCACTTATTTATTGATATGAACACATCTGTTGCATTTCCCACTCAATGTGCTGATTTTATCACAAATTTCCTCACGACTACATCTTAAGGATATTGATCCAAACATCACGAGTACTAATCCGTGATTTCTTTTTCTCATTAGCCTAGTTCGAAGGTGGGAAAAGAAGTTATCTAAGAACCTCTTCAGCATACAGCGCGATTGTTCCTGGGTAACATAATGCAGACATTATCTTGTCCAGATCTACTGGATACGCCTCTCGAGCGGCCGCGAAGGAAGCATTTCGCACAGAGCTCAGCGAATTCTGAAAGGTCGCACTGAGCGGCTGTCAGATAAGCTGTCAGATTCTGCCAATGATTAAGTGACATGGTCTGTCTCGATGAAGGCATAGACATTGGGACGCAATCGCTCGCGGATAACAAAGTTTTAAAGATTTACAAGCGGACTTTTTCGTTTATACGTTTTGTGAATGGAGAATGGGAACGGTAAAGTTTTCGGTGTGATGAATGAAGTACCACATTCGTGTTCCATTAGTTATTTCTCTGAAAAGTAAGAAATGTATTTGACCATCTAGCGATCTGGGCATAACTCTAATCATTGAAATCTACATTTTTGCTCTGACTGATCAGCCCACTACTAATTTTTAACAACCGCATGGATGTAGGTGTTGGTTCGATTCAGTTGATGATCGATCTGATGACACCGTGGAATCGAATGATACTTCACTGGCGTGTTCCATAGCAAACTCGTAACTAAACTTGACTTATTTTTTGCAAACTGCGGCAAACATTCTGAATCAAAACGAACTGAATTTCTGTAAAATCAACTAAGCAATAAGTCGCTTACATGAAAAGGCAGTCATCGCTCAAATAAGTTTCCTTATAATTCTTATTTGTCTTGCAGTGTTTAAAACACTGGTTTCCAACTTTGTTCCACCAATAAAGTGTCCTTGATTTCTGCATCCACGTCGTAGCTGTGCCTCGCATTTCCATTTCAGAGGCCTACATAGTCCTTTGAATGCCTTCAAATATATACGACGTTAAGCAGCGGATGAAGCAGTCGCTCTTAAGATATGATTGGTCATCTTGTTTGAGTGGCAGTGGCGGACATCAGTTAGATCGGAAGAGCCGTTCGCACTGAATTAGGTCAGCACCACTCAATTTGCTCCATTCGGGGACTACACTTGAGACGCTTGAAATAACATCCCAGAAATGGGAACTAAAGGGATCCATGAGATGAGCTTTGCTTTAATAGCTTCTGATGATCCACTTAATTTTTCCGACCTTCTTAATTTATAACATCCACGCTTTTAAAACCTTAAACACATCTCTTATTAGTTGGTAATTATTTCATTCGAGAAGAAGTCACGGCTATCGTGGGTAAGATAAAGAACATCTCTTTACCACTATAAGCTCACTTGATTTTCCCTATCAATTCACCTGCGCGAAAAAGGGTGCTTCGTGAGAAATAAAGCTCCGTGAAGCGCTGCCACGCCTATGCTTCTTCTCCCTGCACGAAGTCGTTGGATTTTTCCAATTTGTTTTACATAACCCACCTTCACGTTTCACTGTGCAAAACCCAGTACTCCTTGTACTCTATCGTTTTCTCGTACCCATTATCCCTGAAGATCTGCGGACTTTTTTGCGTGGGTGTTCGGCAGCTGAATGAGGATTGTCGTCTTGTTTCATGAATATCATTGAATTCTTCTAGAGTCTATTCTCCAAGAATTCTTGGCAAAGCAATACTAGAGCATCCCCACGTGAATTGAAAGGAGTGAGTTAATCTTAAAGAGGCCTGGTACTAATTTACCAGGCCCGTTGAACTTATTCACAATAATCAGGATTTTTAGTCACCGGTGAGAAGGTAGCGCAGTGGTAAGTGATGCAGTCCATAAGGAAGCAAGGTGTTGCTTCAACCCCTTCCTCTACACTTTCCTCCGATCTACGTGGAAACACTTCAGTTAAAGGAATTCTTCAAAATTGCAAGGAATTTCTGCTCGAGCAGCACTCTACGACACTGATAAGGAAGACCAAATCCTCGAGAGGCAGTCGAACCAACATATAAAATGGTAGAAGACCTTCGAAGTAAATGCCCTTGTTGTAAGAAACGACGGGATCCGTGCGGTAAATCTGATGACTTGTCATTTGAAATGTGAAAAATATGGTTTTTCAACAATAATTTCAATTCAAAAAGAGTGTTGTTGTGCTCTGTGTCTCTTCCATACAAGATTCACTCAGGACGTACCTTCCTTCTTTAATCTTTCCACTAGTCAGGTCTTTTATTTCGTTATAGAATCATTTAGTAGACACGGAGGTAGATACCTGGATTGATACGCATTAAGTGATCGATTAGTTTGGGCTTTCCTTTTAGTTCCTTCTTCAGTGTCTTCTAGCAGCAAAATTTTGCAAAATTCTTACCATGTGAATACCTCTCTCGTGTCTTGATTTGTTAAACGTTCTTTCTCCAAAATGTGCTTCCTTTAACTTGGCGCTGTTGTGAGAAAATTTCAACCTCATCTTTATTGCTTTCAGTATTCAAAATTTATCATAGTCAACTAAAGGTAATCAAAAACATTCAGCATCCATATGGCCAAGAAGTATAAGGCTTTAAAGGCGAAATGTTTGTAATGACCTTGAGCTCGAGTTCTTAAAAACTCCACTTCACAAGTAATTTCTCCTTCATTCGTTAATCTCTGATTACTTCATACACTGTTTCATACACTTCAAAGTATCTTCTACGACCGTTCTCCACTTTTAGGAACTAAGAAATGAAAAATGTTGGACTAGAGATTCATTAGCAGAAATAAACCATACTGCAAAGAGAGGCCAACGTAAAATTTTGATTTCAGTGTCCGAAATTGAGTGCATCGCTTCATGGCACTCACTCGGCCACATGTTCTTCGCTGCCCGAGTTGGGAACCGACGAGGGGAATCATATAGATGCTTTGTAAGTTTTCAATCAAATCTAACGAAATTATACAGCTTCAATTTGCCACGGTAACATATTTTTCCGAAGTAGCACGTCAAGTTCAGCAAGCGCTACAACTTCGGAACATTATAAATAAGATGGTAAAAAAGCGATGAACTAACAACTTTATGCGATGTCCTCTTCATAGTACGACACTGTAGTGCATTATATCCCTGTTCTTAGATGTTCGAGTTTTAGTGGGAAGTTTTGTTAATATCTCCCAGCCTCTTTTTAAAAATTCGCTCTCTTGTGTTCAATTCGAAGATTTATTCCTGTGTATTACCTGAACAGCTCGGCTTCCAATACCTTGCGAGGCACACCACCTCCAGTCAAATTGTTTTGCATCCATTATCAACCTTCAACCTACTTCTTAAAAGTGATCACGGTTCACTTTTTTATGGATTCCTCCATTTAGTCCGTGTTTTTTTAAGCTGACATGAGGTTGTCAATTTTGAGATTATTAAACGCTGGCCGACATTTTGATGGCTTCCCATCGTTAGAGCCCGGACAGACCAAATTGACACGCAATCCACTCAGCTAAACAATTTCATGACACAAGCAGAAATTAACTTAACACATAAGCTTTATTCACATCGTAAACGGCTTTTTTTAAACACTCATCATTTTGTTCTTTGCAAATCTTCCGGTAACTGTTGGAGAGTAGTTGCACAGAGTTCTACACAGGTAGGGAATCTGCCTGGCTCAGGACATTTAGTGTTTAGTACTCCTCTTTTGAATAAAAAAAAACACGATCTAGATGTAACATCTTTACCTTTAATTAATTCTATACTGAAAAACTTTTTTTTAAATTTAAGCTCTAGAAGATGCCCATCTAGTAATCAAGCTCGGATTTGGTCCTCGAGTCTTTAATTGAGCGACCCTCACCTGTATGCTGTAGTTGATCTCATGTGGTAAACGAACTTGCAATTGAATACGCAACTGTATTAGCTCTCTGTGATTGTCACATTAGAAAGAAAATGAGTGAATAACCATTAACTAGTTCTTTTTACAGATCGTGGATCAGATGGGAACATCGGGTCGTATAGGGATATCAGCAGATGCGAGCTGTCAGGAACTCACAGACATCGGAGCAGCAACGACTACACTCCAATACAAGCAAGGTACGATAGTTTTCAAAGATTTCGCTTACAGTGAAGATTATCCGATTCTTAGTAGTTTGTATTGTGCAACTTTTAAAGATAAATTGCACAGTTTTTCCTATGATTACAACATGGGAAATAGCCATTAGCAATCTGTAGTCTAATGCCGCAACTGCTTTCATTTGGCACTGAACCTAGTGAGATTCCATTGAATATGATTTCAAAGTACAAACGATACCGGCCTCAGTGTTGATCAGTCATTGAGAGATGCACCATGCATTTGACTTTATTAAGCATCGTTAGAAGGTGATTGAATGCATATCTGGCCTTTACAACGACTCGCCGTGGTCTACCGATGTATCGAGCCAGTGCTGCATCCACTCAGACAAATCTGATACCAATTTGCCGATTAAGGCGGATCAAGAGCTTGATGACAGTGGAGAGCAGAGATCGATCTCATGCGTCTTGCAGGGCTCCCGTGACCACCACCCTATAAGTGCTTCCTACGCACAAGTCGTTATCACCTAAAGTCCCGTTGATCGTCGAGTGACTCGACCAGGCGCAAGTAAATCTTCCATTTTTCCCTGACGAGTGCAAGAGTAGCCCAGTGGGTTCTGCTCGCTCTAGGGACTCGTCGAGTATCATATCTTTCTTCAAGGCTCTTTGTGAAGCACTCTGACCATCGAGTCGGTGGTCTTCCTGCAGTACGTTTGACATCCCGAGGAATCCAGTCGCTAACGGCTGTTGTCCATCGGTTGTCATTCATGCGCATTACGTGTCCGGCCCACCTTATCTACGACTGTTTAGCGTACAGAACGGCATCTTTGATTTTTGATCGTTGACGCAGATCGGAGCTTCGGATCCCATCCCTTACTTGTATGGAACGGGATACTCCTAGCATCGTCTTTTCGACTGCGCGTTCGATAACGCTGAGCGACCTTTGATTCTGCTTACGCAGCAACCAGGTTTCTGACGCATACGTTAGGGCAGGAAGTACCGTTGAGTGGAAAGGTGGGCACGAAGTCGGGTGTTTTTTGTTCTCTTCACTACATCTTCGATGCTCTTGAAAGCTCTCCAAGCCGCTCGTTTCCACCTGCTCAGCTCTGGAGCTGGGTCGTTCATCATATTGATTTCCCTACCTAGATAGATATAACTGGAGCATTCGCAGATATTCGTTGCGTTGAGCGTGAATGGGGCATAGGAAACCAATCCGTTCTTCATGAACATCGTTTTTGTGAGATTTAGTCGAAAACCAATCTTTCTACGGGCTTTATCAAAGTCGTCAAGCATACGTTCCGCTTGGCTAATGTACATCGTTATAGATTTATTAATGTTGTTAATTATCTAGACGCTCTTGATGAAAGAAGTATCATGAACAACGCAAGGAAGGGATACTATTACCATAGCAAAAAGAGTTTTACTGTCATTCAAAGACTTTGATATTTGTAGATCACAAAATTCATCCTCAGTGTGACTTTCCCGATTATATGCAAACAGTTCTTGGATCAGTTCGACAATCATGGGAATCGATAGTAAACGGGAAGAGGAACGTTTTTCAGGACGGTGGGACCTTTCTTTTATCCATTGGTGTTGATCAAGTTCTTGAAAATGTGGTGCAATTCGCGCAGGAGTTTTCCTATGTGATTGAAAAATAGTGATTTCCTTTGGAAGTAAATAAGGTAGCATATAAGTAATAAAAGTCTAACGTAAAGCAGATTAACGAAATTATCAAAAAGCGACGCGGCTGCTTCGAATATTCGTTAAGACCCAAGTGAGATTTCATTGAAATTGGACATTCTTATGAGGTAACGAGATTTAGTAAATCCATAAATGGTGTATTCGATTTTTGAAAGTGTTAAAAGCTTTAAAAGACCAACAAACCAGCGGACCCACCGGATAATGGAAATCGTCAACAGGAGTTATGCTACCGTAAGATTCTGTTTCCAATGTAGAAGTCGGTTTTATAGGAATGTTTTTAAAAAATTTAGACAACAACTTTCGGTGTATTTTTTCCAAATCCACTTTTATCATTTCTTAGTTTTGTTTCGTCACATTTAGAGATGTGGGGGAATTCCATGCAAATAAGAAAAGAAAGAGAAAATTCAAGGGTTCCTCGATATTTCCTAGTATCTAGCTGTCATTGGTCTTTTTCGAAGGTGAACAATCATTAGACATCCAATTCGAGCTTTTTACTTCTATTCCTTTTTGTTCGGAAGCTTCGTCCTCTGTTTTGAGCTTTCATTTCTCCAAGAAATGCACAGAACGGTGAAAAGATGTTCGCTTCTTTTCGTGTCTTAGGATAGAAAACTTTCTATATCCGTAAACCGAGAGGCTGGTTACTCAAGCCTTTCGATGAACAAAAAGCATCAAAGCGAAGAAAAATTTTGTGGTACTGCTTTCGATAGACGATAGATCCGTTTCTGATTCTCGCTGACAAGTGAGTGGAATGAAGCAATATATGGCGTCGTTAGAGGGATGAACATCAATTTGCACTCAATGGAGTAAAGCCATTAGACTGTGCTGAAAAAAACTCTTATATGCTCTGAATCTGTACAGGCGGACTTTGCCCAGTTTAGTCATTTGACTCTGCAAGACAGGGACTCAGATTCTTCCACAGCGTAGTCTAAATTTGTCGTTTTCTTTCTCAACCAATCGCAAAGTTGTTATAAAGCACACGTTTGACTTCGTAACTCAAACCTAAGTAATTAAAATTTCATGAACAAAGGACTAGTAAGATACAGTGAGACTAATACGCATACAGAAGGATGAAGGATTAGAGGATTGGCCAGAAATAGGCTTATTAGCGTACACAGTGATGGAACATGGACATTGAAAGAACAATAAATTCCTAAGAAAGTAGCGATCTCCATTTATCGTTCAGAAGGAGCTGGGCTTCTTAAAAGAGCGGCTTAAAATCCGACGTCGATCAAGGAGTTAGTTGGCAATTATGGCCTTGTTCTATTCACTTGGCATACACTGAGGAATTTGACAGTGCATTAAATTAGATGGCAATACGCGCTAGTCCATGCGCAGCCGCATGCATTCAACTCAATACATATAATGCGAAAAAAGCGACCGTTTTAACCGGAAAACGAGGAAATTGAATAAGTGGAATTCCATCCGGAAAGAAGTGATAGGTTTCGCCAATTTGCTGCTTCTCATGAATTTTTTAAAACTTGAATTTTCATCCATTGAGAACTCTAGTTCTTAAAAAATTTAAGACTGAAAGAATATTTTGTAGAAATTATGTAGACAATTAACAGAGAAGGTGAAACTAAATTCTATAAGTAAATGACGTTTTCAGCTTCCAAACTATCTACCCTTTTGATAGAGACGTCACTGTCAGTCGTAGAAAAACAACGTAGCCGTGAATAAAAGGATAAAGCTCTCGCCGTTGATCAATCCCTGAGGGATGCGCCATGCATTTAACTTCATTGAGCATCGTTTGGAGATGATTGGATGCATATCTGGCTTTTACAATGACTCGCGGTGGACTAGCGATATATCGGGCAGGTGCAGCTATCCTCTCAGACAAGTCTGGTACCAGTTTGCCAACCTCGGAGAGATGGAAGGCTTGGTGGGCCATGGATGCCGGATCGATTCCACGTGTGTATTGTAGGGCACCTCCGAAACCTGCGCCACACACGCCCATCTTAGCCGTGAATGTGGAGGCAAAATACCACGAATAGCCAATTGTAACGGCTTCAAGAAAATATTGTCTGGATCTTTTCTGTGAACTAAGGAGAAGTTTGCCAAATGTCATGGCTGACCACTAGGAATTCGCCGTGTTGCCTGAAAATGTATGAAAATGACAGGTACGATGGAAAAGAGTACGAAGTAAATAGAATCTGGAAGATACTACATTTTTGATGAGCAAGAAAGTAGTGTTATTTTATCCTTTTTTGACGGAAAAGCTGAAGTTTCACGGATTTAGTTTTCTTCAGAGAATGGAAAGTTGAAGATGACTGCAATCCAACCAGCCAAATACCTTCATAACAGCTTATGAAGGCGTTGCAAATTTCAGGCAACTTGATCATTCCAAGCTCTGAAGAAGAAGAAATCCACCGAAATGTCAGGTTTGCCGTCATTGAAGTGTAAAATAGTACTTCGTGCATACTCATCAAAAATGTAGCGAATTACTTGGTCATTGCCGAGGTTAAAGTTGGTTGTGGGAATACGAAGTACTTTTCTGCCTTGCAGGGTACTGGTTATCGTCATACAAAGGCCGCAACGACTCCGTCTGGACCTGTCTGGAGAGTCGACGTCTTGAACATTTCGTGGCTGTTCGGGCACACGTTCGTCGAGGTTGTCAAACCGGCTATCAGTGCGTGCAGGTGAGAGTTTCTTTGACTTTGACATAATGTAATTCGGGGATGCAACTCTAAAGAACATAACTCTGGCGAAAATTTCCTTTTACTCCTTGAGAATCTACTTCAGTGTGGCTTGCATTCTTTACGTTTCTAACAAAGGCACTAAAATAATGCTGAGATATTAGCAAAACTCCGGGCTGCAGGTGTCTGCTGTGAAGAACGAGAGCGCTACTGTCCTTTCCGGGGAGTAACGCGTTCACCACCACACCATGCGTGTCCTTCGCTTCGCCTGCTTCTCAGCTAGTTCTATTGTATTTCACATAATAGCTTGAAGTTAAAAATTCTAGTAGGCAGTAAATAAAACAAAAGTTAAGATTGTGATTTCGACTCCAGCCTCAGCTTAACTAAGTTCGTTGGCGATTTGTGCTCCCCAGATCAGTCCCGTTGACGGGTGATTGCTGATGGCGCCGATCAATAGAACTAGCTGAGAAGCAGGCGAAATGAAGGACCCGCATGGTGTGGTGGTGAACGCGTTAGCCCCCGGAAAGCGTAATAGCGCGTTCAGTTCCCATAGCATACACCTGCAGTCCGCAGTTTTGCAAATATCTCAGCATTATAGTAGTTATATTTCGCAAAATACCTTGCCGTTAAAAAGAATAGGCAGTAAATACAAAGGTTAAGTCTATTATTATTATTGTTACCATTATTGCTGCTATTACTATTTATTATTATTATTTATTATTGTCACTATTAATTATTATTAGAGGACTCGCATGGTGTGGTGGTGAACGCGTTAGCCCCCGGAAAGCGTAATAGCGCGTTCGGTTCCCATAGCATACACCTGCAGTCCGCAGTTTTGCAAATATCTCAGCATTATAGTAGTTATATTTCGCAAAATACCTTGCCGTTAAAAAGAATAGGCAGTAAATACAAAGGTTAAGTCTATTATTATTATTGTTACCATTATTGCTGCTATTACTATTTATTATTATTATTTATTATTGTCACTATTAATTATTATTAGAGGACTCGCATGGTGTGGTGGTGAATGTGTTACTCTCCGGAAAGGACAACAGCGCGTTCGTTCCCCACCGCAGACACCTGCGGTCCGGAGTTTTGCCAATATCTCAGCATTATCTAAGTTGTATTTCACATCATACCCTGCCGTTAAAATTATAGTAGGCAGTAAATAAAAAAAGATAAGGACACTAAAGTTTCGAAATCGAGCAAAAGGGTTTTCGATTCCACGGTGACTCCTTGAACTCCGTTTTCTTCTCAGAAGTGACATGTAGAAAAATGTAAGGGAGATAGGGGTAAGCTTATCTCAAATGCTTATAGTTTGATGTGTTCATCATGAGCTCATAAATCTCGACAAAAAACTGGATTATTTCGAAAAGCGACAAACTAATAGTAACAACTTCGATCAAAATTCGGTTTTGAGAAGTTTTTAATCATTCATTGGCTGAGACCCTCTACGGACGCCGTTGTGCTTCTATCGGCGAATCGCATTTTTTTTCAAACCGTCTGTCATTTAACCTCGGTATTAAAATAGCCAATATGTGTATAAATTGTTGACCTTATACAAGATTAACGGAGATATTTATTCGGCTAACGTTTCGACGTCTTCGTCTTTGTCACAGCCGACGATCCTTGTCGATGGCCAACAGTTGTTCCTCTTCTCGATGTGGGGCTTCATCTCGCATCGAACTGGATCTTCCTTAGCGGAGCACCTCGAATGGGGCATGCTCATCCGGCGATGCTGTTTTATACAGGGCGGTTGTTGTTGATATAACTATCCGTTGATAATAATTTGTTCTTCAGTGTATAATTAACTCTATTAAAATTAAAATTAACTCTGCAGCACTCAGTATTATGTCAGCTAACAGAGCGAACGGCAAAACAATGATTTTCAAAGAGCATTGCCGGATGAGCATGCCTCTTTCATGCGGTATTCCACTGAAGAAGGTCCGCCTCGATACGATGACGAAGACACCACATCGAGAAGACAAGGAACTGTGGGCCATCGACTCACTCCGTCGGTTTTGATGGAGACGAAGACGTCGAAACGTTGGCTGATAAAACAATTTCATCAACCTCGTGTAAGCTCAACAATTTAAACAAGGTGATTCACATTTTCAACACGTAATAACTCAATCAAGAAACGATGTAATGCTTCCCCCGTGAAAAAGTTCGAAGCGCGGGCAAGAGAACAATTTGTTTTGTTTGTGTTCGATCGGCAAATGGGCTACTAATTTCCGAATGACTAAAACCGGTACTACACTCATTATGCATTCAGTTCTATCGTCGTGCTCGCCACATGGTAGTGTTGGGTTTTGGACAAATCGGTCTCAACGAATATGAAGATTGCTCTGAAGCATCGATGGACTCGCACGACACTCTCGTACTCTATGGGGCACAGGTAGCGGTTAACTAACAAGGCTTTTCTGTGCCGCGTAAAGCTGATTCACGTTATTCCTTCGAATATTTCAGGAAGAATGTCCGCTGCGTGGTCAGTACTCATCGTTAAATTGCCATCATCCAGTGCTTTTTTTCGGATGCCAGAAACCGTATGAGATTCAACTCTTTAGCGAATGTCATTCGACACTGAAAGGTTTGAGATCAACGCATTTGAACTTTCTAGTAACGCATCTAAGTAAGCTAAGAGCTGCTGCTTTGGAGTTGGTCAATCTCTTAAGGGTGCACCATGCATTCCACTCCAGTAAATATCGTAGAGATGACTGAATGCATATTTGGTCTGTGAAATGAATTTCGGTGTGCTGCCAATCTATCGAGTGAATGCTTTTGACCTTAAAGACAAATTTGGTACTGATTTTTCTAACCAGAAAAGGCAGAGGGCTAGAGTCTGGATAATGGGGTCAAACCAGCGGTCGATCTTGTTTGTATTGCAGGACACCTCGAACCCATGTGCTCTGGCCGACAATTTTTTTTCAGAAACCCCAATGTAACCAACGATAAATTTTCTATTGGGATGAATGGTGAATAACTTTCGTTTTCTTACACCTTTCGTTTCGCAGACTCCGATGCGTATTCATGCGTCACTCATTTCCGAAACGCTGATGACCACTATATGGTAGTGAGGGATGAACTGTCCACGCAGTTGCAGTGCTTGGTTAGCCTTTGTGAATATGGATACCACTTAGCGCTCTTTTTTATTTTTTAAGAGATTTTGTATTCCTCATTGGTCATAGGTTTAAGTGTTTATTGTACAGAAATTCCACGTTTCGAGTGCTGTTTCGCTGAAGATATTTGATCACGTCTCATGCGATCCTTTCTCAACAACTGCGGCATTACCTTCTTCAGTAATTAACATTTCAGTAACAGGTTAGTCTGAGTTTCTCCTTTAAAACACATCTTTCTTGGAAACATGCAGAAGTTTCCAATTATGGGGCATATTTACTTGTATACTTAGAGACCCATCCTCACATGACATGCGATCTCCAGCAGTTTTTTCATTTCTTTCGTTCTTTTGCAAGCACCATTGATGAAGGAAATCGAGTTTGTGTGTGCTTTTATAAGGATTCTTTTCTCATTTTGACAATCTGAGAGTTGGTCAAATATCGTTTCCTCTAGAATCAAGAGACTGCTTTGCTAGACACACACACACACACACACACACACACACACACACACACACACACACACACACACACACACACACACACACACACACACACGTGGAATCGATCCCCGCTCTCATGGCCCAACAAGCTTTCCATTCCTCCGGGATCGGCAAATTGGTGCGAGACTCATCTGGGAGGATAGGACCACTGGCTCGATACATCAGTAGGCCACCGCGGGTCATTATAAAGGCCAGATATGTATGCGATCACCTCCAGCGACGCTTATTGAAGACGAATGCATGGCGCATCCCTCAGAGAATGATCAACGCCTGTAGCTTTATCCTTTTTATTACCTTTTAATATTACCTTTTAATTCGCTGACTGTGTTATTAAAACTCGTTGTCTAGTTAGTAATTACAAACGTGTTTTCAGAGCGCTGTGAGTCGTCGCTTCTGGCTGGGTTTCTCTACTTTTCAGAAAGTTCTTCCTTATTTAGTCTGTTAAGCGCATTGTTGAAAGCCTTTCTTATGCTTGCAATTCTTTCATAACAAATAATCTTTCCGAACATATCACCGATAACTAGTTTTTTTTGATGCTTACGTGTTAATAAGCATAGGAAAGAATTTATAACTACTAAGCCATAGCTGTAGTTGCATCCAGTTCTTCTAAGCTTACGAGGTATTAAGTTATTTAGAATAATTCCCCGGCATCTGTTTTTGGCTGTGCCTGGTCAACGTTTTCTCGCTTTATCAATCCGGTTCATTGGTTTGTCCTACTCCTGAATGCTTTTTCCGCATGACATCTGTGCGATAAGAAATCTCGGTGCTATTGGATATTTATTCATCGTTGGTTGTTAACTAAATCCTACTTCACATTTTTATTCCCAGACAAATTCTTTACCAAAATGATCTCTTACCAGACAGGTAGATATGTTGTGAGTTGTAGTGATCTACAGTGTTGTCTTGATAGTTGTACGAAATAACCGACTTATTTGAACTATGAGAAGACAGTATTACTCCTAACGTACTTAATCCTTCGTTGAATGCGTAGTAAAATTGCCATCTTCTTTATTTTATGAGTGTTGCGTTTTCTAGTCATATATTATGTCTGGCAATGAACCTCATGTTGTTATATTTGCCCAGAACGTTATTAAGGAACAGCCGGTAGCAGCCTGGTCCCAGGAACCACTCTTTTAGACTCGGTGTTAAAAATGAGGTTCCTCTAATTCTGTTGCATGAACTTTCTATTTCTCATCAATTTCTAATGGTTTCTGGTGCTCTTAAAACAGTGTTCTTATCACTCTGGCGATGTTTGCCAGTTTCCTTTTTCATTTTTATACATGGATTTCGTTCATTTCACATGATGGAATACGGCCTCCTGCGTCAGTTATTTCTTTTATCCTAGACCGAAGTCATAGATCTCAACGGAAAAATCGAGTTAGCGCTTTATGCTAACGGGTAGACTTCTCACAAGCTGCCTGAAGCTGGAAGGGCACTATGTTCTGCTGAATGCATGAATGGAACTGGTGCAACGCGATAGTGAATAGGTACTTTATTGGGTCTACTTCTCTATCCGGACAGTATTTTCTGAGGAGCGAACAAATAAATTTCGAAGTGAGAAGATAGGAAGATAGAGGACTTGGAGTTGATTCATCTTTTAGGACTCGAATTCACACAGGACTGTTATGTTAGTAGGATTCATAATTGTCCTATAAGGTAACATACAAATCCCTATCGACTTATCCAGTCAATGCTTTTATCTCACCAAACAAGTCTGGGGCCAAATTGACGACACCGGAGAAGTAATGGTTACCATTTGGTTTGGTGGTTTAGGCGTGGGGTCGAGCCTATGAGGATGTGTATTCCGTGGCACATCCACACACTGCGCCATTGCAACTTCTTTTAAAGTATAATGGAAAACACTTCTCAATTTATGCGTATCGCTGCTGCTTCAAATATTTTTAAATGTGAGCTTAAACGTTGTATGCTTGAAGCCCTCTCATTATAAATCAATTGAAACGATGTTCATTTCAGAGTAGATTTATTGAAATGTGTAATAACGTATTAAGTGAAAAAGATCTTTCTTAGATTGCAATTGATGAGCAAAAATAGTAAATCGTGAAAAATTCACGACCAATCATTAAAACTATCATGATCAGATATTTACATCACAATTTGCTCAGATAATGACTAAGTTAGCATTTTTAAGAAACGAAAAATCTTAAGGCACTCACTCATCACTTCGTTAGGCATTTTAAGACTACTAAGAAAACGTGTTGGCAAGATATATGAAGGCTATACGACGTTTGGCATCAGATGAAAAATACTACAGTAGCACGACGATCTTCTTCTCGGTGTCTCCGGCTTCTTCAGCCAGTTCACTTGCGTGTTGTTGTTCTACCGGCGCGGCCACGACCCCTTCCTCGCCCGTAATGTTTGCCACTATACGTGACAGACGATCCAGAGTAGTTCGTTTCCGCCCGTCCGCTTAAATAATGGAACTTTATTGGAAGCACAAAAGAACCAATAGATGTACATGTATCTACTTCTATATCTAAAGTAAGCTGACATGTTGCTGTTATACTGACACTGCACCTTTTCAACTCGCCTACATCAGCACCGTCTAGGTAATACAGGCAGCCCTACTTAACGTACTTCTTTTGCTCATGGATAGATAAAGAATGCTAACTATATTGTGGAACTGCTGTTTCTTCCGCTTAAAATTTGCTAGGAAGACAAAGCCATCACATTGTCAAATAAGTCAGCAGCTCTTCACATTACAGAATTTTTCTTCTGATACAATCAGTGCTGTCGCAATGGAATCAACTGATACGAATGTGAGAATCTGGAAGAAGCAAATGTATTTTCAGCCCAAGAATTAAAAAGGCGGAAAAGCACCACCTACTAAAAGAATGCTTGCTTATGTTTAAGCAATGCTTTGGGTTATAATTCATTGCTACTGGTGAAGCTCTGTGTTAAAGGTATTGTTAATCGACCTAGCTGTTGTATGGCCATCGACTTTCAGTAGGAACTTAAAGGAGCTACTAGACAAATTCCATGCTAATATTCCTGCTAATTCCGAAAACAAGTCCTTTTCCTATGCTTGGACTAAATTTAGTTAAGAAAAATCTTTATACTAACTTGTCTTCCTCACCAGTAGGCTGTGGGCTGTCGACCTCGTCTGAGTCAGACGCTTCTTCGTCGTCAAAGCCATCGAATGACGCTGGAAATTGCGCTGATGCCGACGGCTGTAAATCGCAGGTTAAATGCATGTAAATAAATGCTACAGTGCTTCACAAAAGTTTATTTAATTCTGAACCTATTAGCACTACTACGGCTTATGTAGTCGCTGCCCTGCAATACATCCATAATAGTCCCTTGTCCCTCCACGGCTCAACCACGGTACCCAGCAGAAATCGCTAAATCTCTTCCTGACTTTCTTGAGGAATAAATAACACTGAACTGAGGCGTTGGTAAGCCCAATATACCTCAAAGTCCAACCAAAATACTTACTCAACTATTTCTACGATGTATTTATTTACATGATCTTATAAACTGGTCTTCTTTAGCTGATGCGAGGTTAGTATAGGTCTTCGTTGTCGTTCTCGTTGTTGTTGGTGTTATTGGTAGATGGGTGACGTTTCGGCGATTCACGTTCACGTGGGGTCGCGAGCAAAACACAACCCGGGGTCAAAATATCATTTTGAAATAGGGCGCCAGGTCACGCGTGATAGTGAGGCATTCATCTTTCCGGTTCATCTTTGGATATTTGAAATTTATCCAAAATGCCTCAAGAGTCTTGCGTGTTGTTGTTTTTAGATTCCTGCGCTAAAATGCTCACAGTCACTTCAAAATCATCACTGCTGTGTTTTTGTGCCCTATGCGTACCTAGAGGAGTGTCTTGACGGATTTTGGCTTTCCCATCTAAATGTTCTTTTATGCGGACACGAAGTAGTCTACCCGGTTCCCCAATATGTTCCTCACCGCATGCGTTACATGAGATCAAGTATATTATACCTAAACTCATGCAATCCCCGTCTCTCCCGTTAGGACAGATCATACAGTTTTCTTAGCTGCACAAACGATCATAGAGACGGTTGCGAACTAACTGATGGCGTAGGGTATTGGATGGGATGTCAATAATCGTTACATAATTTTCAAGACCACTTTTCTTTTTTCATGCCAGGTTTTGATATTCCTTCCTTTCCTCTTCTGTGCACACATTTTTAGCCGTGCGGTACATGTTTTTGATAAGTGCTTTTTTCATGTCAAAAACCTGGCACGAAAAATAGCCATTTCCAATGGCTACGAAGTAGAAGCCACTCGGGTTAGACAAAAACGTAGAGTAGTTCCCCAAAATAATATTTCGGACGTAAGTAATATCTCCTTTAAGCTACCCTTCATATCAAATGAAGTAAGTCACGCCATCAAGAGGTGCTTAAGAAAAGTGGTCTTGAAAATTATGTAACGATTGTTGACATCCACCCAATACCCTACGTCGTCAATTAGTTCGCAACCGCCTCGATGATCATTAACGCAACTCAGAAAAGTGTATAACCTGTCCTAACGGGAGAGACGGCAATGGCGTGAGTTCAGGTATAATATACTTGATCTCATGTAACGAATGCGGCGAGGAATATATTGGGGAACGGGTAGACCACTTCGTGTCCGCATAAAAGAACATTCAGATGGAAAAGCTAAAATCCGTCTAAACACTTCTCTAGGTACGTATAGGGCACAAAAGCACAACGGCGATGATTTTAAAGTGAATGTGCGGATCTAGCGCAGGAATCAAAAACATCTCTCTCTCTCTTAACTCTCTTCTCTTTTTTGAAAACTCTTGAAGCGTTTTGGATTTCAAAAATCTAAAGATGAACCGGAAAGACGAATGCCTTGTCTTGCTCGCGACCCCACGTGAACAACGCGTGGGCCAGTCCCACTCGTAATATCACGGTGAGTAACCTTTCTGTTCAATATGGCGTAGAACTACATTTGACTGTAGCATCCTAACCCATCATCTATTTAAAAGTTTGATCTTCATTAATACTTCAGCCTTTTTTCCACAGAATAATTAAGGTATTCTAATATAAAATACGTCCAGGCTCTGAGGAAGGCGAAATCGCTGGAACGTCGGCCATCCACCAACAACGCCAACAACAGCGAGAACGACAACGAGGACCTACACCAACCTTGCATCACCTAAGGAAGATCAGTTTATAAGATCATATAAATAAATGTATCCACTATCTATGCCAAGGTTTATGGAAAGTCGGTCACTTGAGTTATTTCTACGATGCTTAAGAACTTCAACGCTTCACTCACCTTCACAGGATTGTTCACCATCGAACGCTCTATACTTTCTTATGATTATACACCCTTTCTTTTAATGTAGTGAAAGAGGTAAGAAAGAGTACCAACCATGTTTCGAAGTCTTAAAGTGAAGGGTTCACATTCTTTTTAGATGAAAACACGGATAGTTACTTGAAGTTTTTTTCAGTAGTGAACTTTTGAGCTAATCGTCATAAAAAGTTGATCTAGGAAGAAATTCTTTTTACCAGATACTCAGTGCCAGTGTGTCCATGCATCGCCATTTGGTTTTGCGCCATAATCTTCGTCATCTTGCCTTCGGCATGCAACATCGTCTCCAACTTGGTGATATAGTCGATAGCAGAGCGAAGAATCTCAACCTAAATTATCCGTTACCAGCAAGCCCAGAATTTTCGTTCCGATTTGGGTTCGGCAAGCTCTCGATGTTGTAGTACTGTTGAATGTCTGCACCATCGAATACGAAATAGCAATCCAAGAGGTTAACAGTGATATGAAACGAAAGGTCTGAGGTTATATAAGCTCATTATCAGATTTTCTCAAAAAACGATGAGCTAAAACTATAAAAGTAGCCAAAGAAAAACAGAACTCCAAATTTGGTACCGTTAAGCCCATTTTTTAATTTAGTACTACCTAAATTAAGTGGGGCATAACAGTAGGATTCCAACTTTCTGCAGCGCTCAGATTAATCTCGATTGCAAACAGAAAGTCCGAGTTAAATTCCGTAAATTTGAAAGTTTTAAGGATATCTTTTAGTTTTATTACTTCCTGGTTTTTGTGACAGGATATTATGTGGAAAACAATTGCAAGAATGCCAGGATATGAACAAAACTCGGAATCTCAGGTGCACTTCGAACCCGTAATCACACTTCGCGAGTACTCACGTGTTATACGTTGCTCCACCGAGTCGCTTGCTCTGCATTTCTCTCAGCCTGTTTTCTATCCTAATGGTGGTATCAACTGCTCACGCAAAATGGTCGGAGGTTCGAAGCGCACCTGAGGTTCCGAGTTTTGCTTATATCTCAGCATTTTTGTAGTTGTGTTTCAAGGGTATTTAGGGGGGAACTTTCCTAAGATCTCAATACACCTCACAAAATGATAGAACTATGAAATGTTATTTTTCTTCGTATTTTTGTTGAGTAAACGCGAGGTGTTACTATTCTTTGTTCACGATTAAGCTGACGTTTCGGCGGATTTCGCCTTCCTCAGAGCCTGGAAAGGTCAAGTTGACAGCAATCTACTCGGCCAGACGCCTCCATAACCAAGCAAAGAAACTCTAAACCAAGATTTCAATCACTTTGAACACAGCTTTGCACACTCACCGCTTCCTATGAGGAAATGAAATGTTAGATGGTTCGATAAAAGACAGTGATGAATGAGTAACCTAAAGGTATTCGAACAAAAGCTTTGTAACCTTAGGCAGACGCTGGTTTGGATTTGGGCACGTCCGCTGCTTGACGATTTCGAACGCCTCGTTCACTTTGCGCAAACGCCTTCGCTCCCTCATTGTTGCAGCCTTCCTACGATCCACTAAGAAAAACATTATTAAATGTGATTGCATAAGCCTACCACAAAAAGCCACATGATTCATTGCATTTCCTGTGAATAAAAATCCTTTGTTACGTATGAGGACGGCAAAAAGCAGAAAAAGAGTACAGAATGAGAGATGAAAAGCCTGGCCAAAGGTCGGTTAATTGGAAGTTGCAAAGTAATCAATACTTTGTTATTTGAATCGTCGACACGAACAAGTTGAGGCGGTAATCGGTTCTCGGGGCTTTTAAAATCGTCTACGTTCTCAGTTTCGATTTCCCATAACATTTAGGGTCAGGTATTTTTATGTCAACCTTTAAATTTCTCGTGACAAAGTCTTCATTTAGATTGTCGCTAGTCTAGACCTCTAGCATTCGTCAATTTGCACAACTGTGCCTTTTCAGATTGTTTTCCTTCCATTAAGGCCTCGGTTAATCCTTTCAGAAGTAAACTTAATGCCGTTCAGTTGGGAGCAACGTCATTCTTTAGTTTGTTAAGATTTAAAGATTAACTACGGAAAATGCATCCTATTATTTTAATTCGATGCCGAGGCAAAATCATAGTACGAGAAGAAAAACCCTTAAAATCAACATTTTAACTCCAGAGGCACCAAAGGTCTAACTGATAAAAATTTCCTAGACCAACACTTGGTTGGTTTCTAGTAGGAAAACATGTAATTGTAGCCGAAGCTAAGCTAATTTCGATCTATCTCATATCTCAAAAGCTTAGAACATGCTTTCCAAAAAAAACCCGGTCGCACTCTGAGGTCATGTGCTGAACATACATTTGCTTCTTCTGGGTGGGTTATTTGGATCGGTCGATTCCATTGCGACTTCATCAGTGGATAGTGTTGATGAGACATGCAGCAGATGATCTGAAAATGCTTTAAACAACGCATCGTTACAGATAGAAGCAGCCTAAATATATTAAATTAGGGCTTTTATCTTGTACTTCGTCGTCTCTTGGCATCATTTTTCATTGGACTTAATCTTTATTGGCCATACTAGAAGTTTTTTCGTTTTTTGCCAATCGTGAGTTCCTTCTCCATTTCAGACATAGTAAAGAGCCCACCATCCTTTTCAATTTTGATGCTGGGGTTAGAATCTTTCTGGTCGTTGCTGTTGGTGAATTCGCCGGTGCGAGGTACAGAAAAAGTAGTCAGCTCAGGGTAGAACGGAGCCGAAGATGTCGCTTGACCGGTATACGGAGGATAGTAGGTGCTGTACCTGAATTAATATTATTTCTTGTGTTCAAGTTATCTTTAGATTGAGATTATCTTGTGTTTAAAAATTCTTCCTTAGTCGATTCTTTCTTAAAAGTAACCCACTCCTCAAACAGATGTGAACACGACTACAGAGTAGTTCTCATTAACAAATATGCTTTCTTCGGCTCCGATTCCACATCTCATTGCTTGTCAAATCAGCGAAAGATGTGAACCAAGCGAGAAAAGCATGATGTCCGCATTCATCTGCTCGTTAGTCCGTTATCACTGTTTAAAGGAAAACTTCTTGTCAGGAAACTCAAACATTGTCGCAGCTTTGAGAGCTTTGCACGAAGGCATGATCATCATATTGAAAGTCATACTGCTGTTGGTTTCACTCCGTAATAGGATCCGTTCGATTGAAATTTTTGTTCAGACGTTGCCTAGGAATCGCATGAAGTATTAAGACTACCAAATTTGGTTGCTTGTCATGGCTACTTATATTCTTCACCGCCATATATAGTAACCCGAGGCGTTTTCCCTAATGACTAAAACGATCATATCTGGAGAATATCGCCTCGAGGACACTTTTAGGTACGCGCCTATCGCACTACTGCTGAGATGGTTCAATCCCTCAATTCTCGTATGGAAAACGAGCAGTCGAAGTATTGAGCCATAACTGACTGATTTTCGTTTAAATTATTATTTATTCGATTGTTACAAAGGTTTGATCGTTTCTGTTTACGCGTCATTTTCAGTTCCTCGTTGACTAACTCTAACGATGAAAGAATATGGTATAAAGTTCAAAGAGTTAATCAGTCCCTGAAGAATGCGTCATGAATTCAACTTCGTCAGACATCTTTATAGGTGACTGAATGCTTGTCTGGCTTGTACAATAATTTGCGGTGATCTACCGTTATATCAAGTTAGTACTTTTGTCCTTCTAAACAATTTTGGCAGCAAATTGCTGACCACGGAGGGATGCAAGGTTTGGCGGAGCGCGAAATCGATGTTTGGAATAAACAGTAAACGTCGTCGCTGGAGATGTGGAAATACTAGAGTGAATAATTTCTATCTCATGTTTTCGTGTTCTCGTATCTAATTCTCCTTCTTCTAAGCAGGCAGAGCTCATAAAACTGAAGGAGAATTCGTCATTTTCATCCAAAAGCCCGGATAGAACTGAAGGAGAATTCGTCATTTTCATCCAGAGGCCCGGATAGAAGGAAAACTATGTCAAGTATCCTCGCCGTTCTGAGAAGCCCAATTCGTCAGCTAACAGATCACCTCTCGATCCATATAGGCCGTCACAACATGTGATTTAAAATGTTCTCAAATACCTTCGGATTTATCTCAAGATATATAGAAAGCAAGAAGGAGATATAGAGCAAGTCATCCATAAACATATCCAGTTCGTACTACACATCTTGCTAGGCCAAACCTGTACTACGCGTATCTCTCGCAGAAACTGTAGCTATAAGAGGCATCGTTATTCCGACCTAACAATAATGACCAATGCCGCAGTCTTGGAGCACTTTAATACACAGAGTTCATTACAATTTTAGGTCCATGGAAAATTTCGAAAACTATACGGAGCATTGTAACATTCTGTGCTGATCACGCATGGATGAAACAAGCTACGAAAACCAGTTAGGACTGTTTGTAGGAATAATCAGAAGGATAGAGGCCGGTGGATAAATAAATGTATCGTTGTAAAGATGAGCGTGGTTACGAAAATCGATCTATTCCCTTCAATAACTTTCGACATCTACGGTTAAGAAGATACAGCCCAATTCAATTTCCAATTCCCTATTGAAATCATTCAATAGTTGGTGTTTTAGAAAATACGTTTGGAAAGGCTTGTTTTTGGTTGAACACAGAGAAACAGAATTGTTATGAGAAAAGCAATGACCCTTTATATTTCACTTAATTGACCAAATTATCCTTTAATCTTCAACTTTTTGGTTATCTAGACCATAAATTATTTGCACCTCTCAAGTGCATCGAAGTGAGGAAAGCAAAGAATGCTTCACTGCACCTCCATTTCGGTTATGCGCTTCCTTTAATAATAAGGTCCTCTTCCAAGATTTAGCAATACGTAAGCTGCTGAGCGTACTGTCGACATCGTCAATACACCGACTTATGTCCATGAATGAAGGTTGGGAACATTGTAGCACAAGCGAAATGTGAAAATCAATCGCATTGTACTCCTGGTGCTTTTGATAGACAAAGGCTTGGGTTTGCGATGTCAAGCACTAGAAGCGAGCAATCAACTCGATGGCTAGAGTTCTTTGCGAGTATTCTAAGCAAAGAATGGAATACGTTGTTCTTCATGTACACCAACTGAATAGACACCGCTTGGCAACTCTTGTATGCGATGGGGGCGCAATTGAAGCTTAACTGGTTTCCAATCACCCGATAAGAGTAATGGTGTAACAGTGATCTATAAGTCAATTTTTTTTGACAGACAGACATTTGTACACGTATAGAAATTCTTTCTTAAACCTTGTCGATTTTTAGTTAGTTTTCTTCAATTAACGTCTATAAACTCGAAACTTTGTGGCTTTTCTTATCGAAGAATCATGCTGGCCTCAGCATATATTTCATTCGCATGCTATCTCCTAGTTAGACAAGACTTTCTCTCTCTTTCTGTAGTTTTGAGATAGCCACGCTAGAGCTTTTTCTAAAATATCCGTCCTTTATGGATCGGATTGAAATTTTCCTTTATTTTCCACTTCGCATTGAAATGGTCACAGAGGCGACACTGGTTTACTCTAACCGGGCTTCCGAATAGCTATGTTGAATTTTTTCTCAACACTGCAAAAACTCGTATGAAGTGCTGAGATATTTGCAAAACTCCGGACCACAGGTGTATGCAGTGGGAAACGAACACGCGCTGTTGTCCTTACCGGGGAGCAGCGCGTTTTCCTTCCCCACTGCATACACCTGTGGTCCGGAGTTTTGCAAATACCTCAGCACTTCATACGAGTTATATTTCACAACATACCCTGCCATTAAGAAGAAAAAAGCAGTAAATAAAAGATTAAGACTGCAAAAACTGTTCGGATTGTGGGCTTGCTGATGTACATCGAAACTGAACACTCAGCATCAGCATCCAAGCACGATAGAGACGGGTAAACTGTCGTTAGTATCTATACTGCGTGGCTAAATGGAGTTGACAAACAGCAGTGCCTGATTATTACATCGATCCGAAGCCAACTCTCCGAACCATAACCAACCATCTATCATATGATCCTGAGATGTCGATAACTTCGGAATGCTGTTATTTATCGCTTTCTTCTATCGCAGCTGTTGAAGTTACATCCGCCAATTAATTACACTTTCAGTCCTCCCCACTGTACAACAACGAGGACTTCTAGAACCAGTAAGGCAAAGTGTGAAAAGCAAAATACGTCATGCTGACTATACATCATATTTTATGAATTATAGACGATGTACGCGACAATGTAAAAAACTGATTTAAATCACTTGAATAACAATGTGAAGTACTGAATTAGCGCCATTAAAAAACGGAGGGTTAGAAATAGGCATTTCTATAAGAATATCCTCTATAGCTCGCAAACTCGATAATTACAATATCAGCCAGTAGTACGTAGATATTTCTCAGGAACGGTGAAGAACTTGACTGTTAGAGTAGATTACTGAGTCGCTATTCGACTAGGCACAGTCTCTCGCAAGCGTTACTTTATTATTGAGTATAATTAAAATTTACATTTTGTCGAAATTTTTGAATTAAAAGTTTAAATTTCAACGCTATTCAAGTTAAAAACTTCAAATGTGCTTCATACTCAAAATTTTAAGAGCCCGAAAATGAAGTTTGGCCTTTGAAAATATTTAATGTAAGAACATGAATGGCGAACACCAACGATATGGGAACCGGAATGACCCACTGGAACTTCTTTTGTACGAAGCCCTAAACTTCGTATATTCTACGGGATCGTCTTCCTAAACGGGAGCCTCGAGGAAAAAAAACAGACTGATATGTAGCGTTGTTTCTAGAACATCGGAGAAATCATGCTGCTAATAGTAAAGCCTCTGAACCTTGTTGATAAACATCTGCAGATA